CAGGGCACGAAATCGACTGTAAATCGACCGAAAGGTTGACTGCATATGGAGAAAATACGAAAAAACGCAACATCCGAGAGACCATTGATATACTGACCGATAGAAATCTAATGAATGGGAGACTTGAAAAAGGCAGGATCAGCGAAGACTTTGCATATTGCCTAAACGAACTCGGAGAAGACCAGGCAACATCAAGATCAGCAAAAAGCAGACGACTGGATCAAGTTAATATCCTTAATTTTAGGAAAAGAGATCGCAGGGGTATGATTAAGGAACAATCAGAAGCAGAGGAATCGTCTTTAGTAAGCCTAATCAAAACAATTAGAATCACGACAATTGTGGGTTGGCACACAAGAGACTAGGACGTAGGAAGTGATAGACATGGTATTAAGATACGAAGAGAAACTTGGTTTCGATTAATATCTTGAGATAATATTGTTAGGGGGACTTTCAGTTCGCATGAAAGTAAATGAATAATGATCCGTTAGTCGATCCCACCAGATGAGGACGGATTAATATCGTTGTACTACAGCCGTTTGGCTTTTATACGATATTCATTTTGACGCAATCCACAATACTTCTTCCCTCGTTTCAGATGAATACGTGCTGAGCTTTCGTCCATTATATGATGGACATCATCAGAGCTGGGTTTCATTCTTGTAAGTCTCACATTAATACTGATTATGGTACGTCTGTGGCTAAAAGAAAGATTGAAATTAATTGCTCAGGAAATACATCGAAAGTGAGGAACTGTGTTAGAAAGTTGAGTAGGAATTAGTTATACTTGATTGATAGATTGAAAGAGAGAGAGGGTATTAAGCCGCCATCAGAAAGAAGGCGACTCAATTTATCTGCTCATTGATTGTTCAAATTTCACTCACATTCGTCCAAAAAGATAGAGTAAGCTCATTAACCAAACCATTCATTCACTTTCATGCTAACTGAAAGTCCCCCTAACAATATTATCTCAAGATATTAATCGAAACCCAGTTTCTCTTCGAATCTGTAATACCAAATCTATCACTTCCTACGTCCTAGTCTCTTGTGTGCCAACCTACAATTGTCGTGATTCTACTTGTTTTGATTAGGCTTACTAAAGACGACTCATCTGCTTCTGATTGTTCCTTAATCATACTCCTGCGATCTCTTTTCCTAAAATTAAGGATATTAACTTGATCCAGTCGTCTGCTCTTTGCTGATCTTGATGTTGTCTGGTCTTCTCCGAGTTCGTGTAGGCAATATGCAAAGTTTTCGCTGATCCTGCCTTCTTCAAGTCTCCCATTCATTAGATTTCTATCGGTCAGTATATCAATGGTCTCTCGGATGTTGCGTTTTCTCGTATTTTCTCCATATGCAGTCAACCTTTCGGTAGATTTTGTGCCCTGTTTATGCAATGTTTTCCACTATTTAGGATCTTTTCGTATCCATGTTCCTGCAGAGTCTTTAATTCGTAGGCCGATTTTTCTTCCTGTTTCACCTATATGCTTCTGCTCACAGTTGCCGAATTTGATGCGGTAAACTCCCGAGCAATCAAGTTTATCC